CAGGAAGAATCAATGAACTACCACGGCAGTAGTTCATTGAGAACTATAAGCTGACAGCCACAAAAGCTGTCAGGACTTGTTTCTCATTCAGTGCCGCAGTCAGGTGGGCGGAGCCCCGCATAGCCATGTTTTTTTTTTTTAAATTTGACAGCTAGTAGGGGGGAGAAGATCATGCACTAGCTGTCAAAGCAGGGGATCTGTGGGGAGTGGGGGCCGGTGTTACATATTACACCCTGAATATGGGTATAACATGTAAAGAAAGGTGAACTTATCCTTTAAAAGAATCTGAAATAACAAAACAAAATTTTGTCTGAAATATCGAATTATCTGAATTTGAATTTAGAAAAGAACAAAATAGAAAAAATATTGCAGTCTTTTGAATTTCGAACAAATAAGAGTAAAGCCATTTTTTGAATTCTGAATAGAATAAAATAGAAAAAGTATAGATGTGTTCCAAAATGTGAATTTCAAAAAGAATAGAATAAAATAGAAAAAAGTATAGATGTCTTCCAAAATGTGAATTTTAAAAAGAATAGAATTGAATTGCGTTCAATAGAATACAATAGACTAGAAAGGAGTAGAATAGAATAGACTAGAATAGAATAAAGTAGAAAAAGTATGTCCGTCTTTCGCAATTCGAATAAAATAGCTATTCAACCTGCATCAGCATCTTAATTGCATAGTCCACTTTTAATATCCCCATCTGATCCCTGAGACAAAGTGATACCAGCCTCTCTCATCCCTGTACCCTCCATAGCCCCTTGTGTGACAGTATATTATAAAAAAGAAAGAAAAAAAATTAAATAGAAGTAATACATTTATTTAACCAACCCTTAGATGTGGTGTCTGCATTAGTTTTCTTTTTAGGTTGTTTTCCTTTATTTTCACCTTGTGATCCTACCAGTAAGTCTGTAGTTTTTCAACTTCCTTTAACAGACCAAGCTGTCCAGCAAAAGTGGCAGTTAGAGGTTTGAGACAAACCATTTAACACTGACGCAGGTACTTACAATGGTCAGTTTTATTCATTTATGTAAAACGTTTACCCAAAAAAGGAAGAAAAAAACTGTTACTTTATCTGCTTTTAAAGCATTAGGTGGAGTTCAGCTTTAATTTGTTAGTCAGGTCCTTCTAAATTTTCTAGTGTAACACTCCCCTCCCCCCAGACTGACAATGCTGCTGTCCAAGGGTGTCTCCATTGCTCCTTTATCCAGAGTGAAGACAAGAAACGTGTTACTAGCAGTATCACCAGGTGCAAATAAAAGGAAAAAAAAACTAAAGAAAAAAAAGGAAAGCCCCAAGAAGTCCCAACCCTCTAACTGCCACTTTTGCTGGTCTGTTAAAGGAAGTTGAAAAATAACAGACTTACTTGCCAGATCACCAGGTGAAAATAAAGGAGACAAAAAAAGGTTAAAAACAGAAAATTAATTCAGCCACCACAACTTAGAATTGTAACGGTGCTATATATTATATTTATGTTTTGGAGTTTATTACCACTTACTGGTAATTGTCATGCAACTCTGTATCCAAATTAAATTTTTATCACTTTTTTTCACACGAACAGAGCTTTCATTTGGTGGTCTTTGATCACCACCGGGTTTTTAATTGTTTATTATATAGATCAAAAAAATTTGGAAAAAGAAAACAATATTTTGTACTTTCTGCGATAAAACATTCCAAAATCTAATTTCTTCATGAATTTAGGACAAAATGTATTTTGCTACATGTCTTTGATAGAAAAACAAATCCCAACACGTGTATATTGATTGGTTTGCGTGAAAGTTATAGTGCCTACAATTTAGGGGTGTGTGTATATGTATATATATATATATATATATATATATATACCTCCTGTCCCTCTTATATTGAACTGTATTGTTGCTGTATTGTCTCCCGTTATATTGTAAAGCGCTGAGCAAACTGTTGGCGCCATATAAATCCTGTATTATAAATATATATATGAATTTTTAGATATTTTATATTTTTTTCATACTAGTAATAGCAGTGATCAGCAACTTATAGTGGGACCGAGTGGAGGGCAATCTGACACTAACTGCCACTGACATTAATGCAGTGGGGTTTATTATATATATATATGGAATTTGTATAGATGTTATATTTATTGGGACTGTGCAGAGGGCAATCTGACACTAACTGCCACTGACATCACCAGTGACATTAATGCAGTGGGATTTATTTACTAAAGCACACACCCTCCCCCTAAATTGTAGGAACTATAACTTTCACGCAAACCAATCAATATACACGTGTTGTGATATTTTTTTATACTGTGTGTGTATATATATATATTTTGGAATTTGTATAGATGTTATATTTTTTGGTACTGTGCGGAGGGCAATCTGACACTAACTGCCACTGACCTCACCAATGACATTAATACAGTGGGGTTTATTTACTAAAGCTGCTTCACTCAGAATCTGGTGCAGCTGTACATGGCAGCCAATCAGCTTCTAATCTCAGCTTGTTCAAGTAAGCTTTAGCAATAAAACCTGGAAGCGGATTGGTTTCAATACGGAAGCGGACAAGATTCCGAGTGAACCGGCTCTAGCAATCAAACCCCAGTGAGTGATAAAATACTATACACTGTCCCTGTCACTGCACTGATGACACCGGCTGGGAAGGGGTTAACATCTCGGGGTCATCAAGGGGTTAAGGCTGGCCATACATTATGCAATTTTCTTTAAAAAATTGCTTTAGAGTTACCAAAAACCATATAATATGAGGTCAAACATAAACAACACTTTCAATTGTATCCAATTAGGCCGGCCCTTGTACTACATAGTTGAAGGTAAATCTAAAGGAAATTGGACAGAAAATTGTATAGTGTATGGCCAACCTAAGTGTGTGTCAATGTGTATATTATGTGCTGCTTTTTTACTAAAAATCTCTCGATTCCTTCTCCCTGCAAAGCAGGGAGGAGAAACAAAGGGATCGTTCCCGGTTGTCAGCACAGGGCTCTGGGCTGTGACTGGATACAACCAATCAGCAGGTGCCATCCATGAATGACTGGCTAGTATCTGCTGACAAAATCGCACTATGTCTAATCACAGTGGGAGTCAGGGGCCCTGTATCCGGAAAAGGCCAGAGACATACAGGTAGGTCGCAGCGCCTGTACGGGCGTCCCGTCTGCAGTACACTGTGGGCGGGCGGTCCATGAAGTGGTTAAGCTCTCTCTATATGGACGCTTGTGAATTTCGAGGAGTTGCTCAGTATAATGACGCTTTTGCATTACAATGTTTTCTGTATATGAAGCAGTAAAAGGTCTTCAAAGAAGTCATGAGAAATTTTTCGCAGAAGGAATACGTTGTAGGAATTAGGGATGCACCGATACCAAGGATTTTCATGAGTACTTACGAAAATGCTCCCGATACCGGAAACCGATACTTTGCAGTGGGATTGGCATCAATACAAATTGCCCCGAAAAGATTTCTGTCCAAATCGCATGCGGTTTCCCCACTGCTCCTGTATGGATCCAGGCTTGTCATAGCCTGCGTTCACACAGGAGAGGTGCGGGAAACCTCCCTGCAGGGATCCCATCCTGAGCGGGGAGGGGGCGTGTGGGGATGTATACTATGAAGGCAGATGCTCCATATTCTCAGTGGTAGGTGAGGAGAGAAAACCGTTTCACAGGTCTGGGGATTTGAAGTTCCAGGCGGCTTTCTCTCCTCTCACTGCAGGACAGTTCGGGCTAAAGGGCTTTTGATTGGTCAGCACCGTCACATGGTCGGTGTTGATCAATCAGATGCCGTCTAACCCATGCAGTCATCCTGCAAGGAGAGGAGAAAAACGACTTCACAGGTCTGAGGATTTGAAATCTCTGCTGATTTTTCTCCTCTCTTTCCAGGGATGACAGTACAGAAGAGAGAAAGCAGTGGGGATTTCAAATCCTCAGATCTGTGAAGCAGCTTTCTCTCCTCTCCTTGCAGGGATGACAGTACAGGTTAGACGGCATCTGATTGGTCAGCACCGAGAATGTGACAGTGCTGACCAAACAAAAGCCCTCCAGCCCCAACGGTCATCTCTGCAAGGAGAGAAGAGAAAGAAGTGGGGGTTTCAAATCCTCAGACCTGTGAAGCGGCTTTCTCTTTCCTCCTTCCAGGGATGACAGTACGGGTTAGACAGCACCTGATTGGTCAGCACCAACCATGTGACAGTGCTGACCAATCAAAATTCCTCTAGCCCGAACTGTCGTCCCTGCAAGGAGAGGAGAGAAAGAAGTGGGGATTTCAAATCCTCAGACCTGTGAAGCGGCTTTCTCTCTCCTTGCAGAGATGACAGTACGGGTTAGAGGGCTTTTGATTGGTCAGTCCATTCACATGGACGGTGCTGACCAATCAGATGCCATCTAGCACGTACCGCCATCCCTGCAAGAAGAGGAGAGAAAGCCACTTCACAGGTTTGAGGATTTGAAACCCCCACTGCTTTCTCTCCTCTCCTTGCAGAGATGACAGTACGGGTTAGACGGCCTCTGATTTGGTCAGCACTGACCATGTGACGGTGCTGACCAATCAAAAGCCCTCTAGCCCAAACTGTCATCCCTGCAAGGAGAGGAGAAAAAGCAGTGGGGATTTCAAATCCTCAGACCTGTGAAGCGTCTTTCTTCCCTCTCCTACCGCTGAGAATATGGAGCATCTGCCACCATAGTATACACCCCCACACGCCCCCTCCCCGCACCGCTCCTGTGTGAACTCGGGCTATGCCAAGCCAGGGTTCACACAGTAGCAGTGGGGAAATTGCATGTGATTTGGACAGAAATCGCATTCCTGTTCAAATCGCATGCTATATTTTGCGGTGCAATTTGCATCCGTACATTTTGTATTGACGCAAATCGCACAGCAAAGTATCGGTAATCGTTATTAGTGAGTATTTTACCGAAGGTATCAGTACTCGTCCTCACCGATAAAAAAAAAAGGGTATCGGCGCATGCCTAGTAGAAATGATAGGTACAATACCCGCGGTCACCTGACACACCAGACACCTACAGAGTCCTCCTCGTCCAAGGACACGTCATGTTCCAGCAGCAGCTTCACCGCTTGCTCTTGCCCAGCTCCAGCCGCCCAGTGTAAGGCTGTCCTGTCTACCTGAAACACAAGAGAAAGGAGACCGTGATCCAGTGTCTGTCCAGTCCAGACCCGGGGGCCACAAAGTGACATGATCCTGAGGGGCGGACTGACCATTAGAGCACTTGGGCACTGCCCGAGGGCCCAGGGTCAGTAGGGGGCCCCATGAAATGACCCTGGTACCTTTTATAGGCTTTTTTGGGTGTGCTTTGAGTGTGGTCAAGGACACAGGGACCCCATGATCCCCCATTGCCCGGGGGCCCCATGAGTTGTCAGTCCCCCCCTCATCCTGATACCGCCGGACGCTTCTCCATGTTTTCTCACGTCTCCCCGTGTTTGTTATGTGCAAGGTGCATCTGCCCTACCCTACTTCTTCCATACACGTGGCTGCTGGTATTTCCGAGAACTTTTACCTTTCTTTTTTTTGCACGGCATGGAACGAGAGACTGAAGACTGATCACCTGAAGAGTGATCTACTCTGTGTTCCTGCCAACACATTAAAGGCCAAGTTCACCTTATCCAATGGGCTCATTTGCATGTGCTTTGGAAAGGTTGAAGATCCTACAAAAGTCTGTTTCTGACCATTCTGGGGTTCTAGTCCTCCTGTGCTACTAATACACTCAGTGAGAGCTGTGAGAATGTGGAATAGACTCCCTCAAGAGTTGGTTGTGGCCAGCTCAGTGGATTGCTGTAGGAAAGTCCTGGATTCTTTCTTGGATACACAGAATATAACTGGATATAACATTTATAGGGAAAGGTGATCCAGGGAATATCCGATTGCCTCTCGGGGGATCGGGAAGGAATCTTTTCCCCTGCAGGAGCAAATTGGATCGTGCTTTGCTGGGTTTTTTTTGCCTTCCTCTGGATCAACTGTGGGTGTAGGATTATAACTTTTCTTTTTTTTTTTTTTTTTTTTAATGGTTGAACTGGATGGACTTTTGTCTTTTTTCAGCCAGACTAACTATGTAACTCTAAGGGCTCTTCCACGGTAGCACTGCCTCCAGGACTTCTCCAGAGCCTCTCCCATTCTCTGAAACTCCCTACCCCAGTATGCCCAGTCAGCCCCCACCCTGTCTGCCTTTGAAAACTCACTTTTTCAGGGAAGCCTACCCAACCTCCACCTATGAAGAGCGGATATAGCGAATGCGGGGTCCGGGGAGAGCGGATATAGAGAATGCGGGGTCCGGGGAGAGCGGATATAGAGAATGCGGGGTCCGGGGAGAGCGGATATAGAGAATGCGGGGTCCGGGGAGAGCGGATATAGTGAATGCGGGGTCCGGGGAGAGCGGATATAGTGAATGCGGGGTCCGGGGAGAGCGGATATAGTGAATGCGGGGTCCGGGGAGAGCGGATATAGTGAATCCGGGGTCCGAGAGAGCGGATATAGTGAATGCGGGGTCCGGGGAGAGCGGATATAGTGAATGCGGGGTCCGGGGAGAGCGGATATAGTGAATGCGGGGTCCGGGGAGAGCGGATATAGTGAATGCGGGGTCCGGGGAGAGCGGATATAGCGAATGCGGGGTCCGGGGAGAGCGGATGCGGGGGGTCCGGGGAGAGCGGATATAGCGAATGCGGGGTCCGGGGAGAGCGGATATAGCGAATGCGGGGTCCGGGGAGAGCGGATATAGCGAATGCGGGGTCCGGGGAGAGCGGATATAGCGAATGCGGGGTCCGGGGAGAGCGGATATAGCGAATGCGGGGTCCGGGGAGAGCGGATATAGCGAATGCGGGGTCCGGGGAGAGCGGATATAGCGAATGCGGGGTCCGGGGAGAGCGGATATAGCGAATGCGGGTCCGGGGAGAGCGGATATAGCGAATGCGGGGTCCGGGGAGAGCGGATATAGCGAATGCGGGGTCCGGGGAGAGCGGATATAGCGAATGCGGGGTCCGGGGAGAGCGGATATAGCGAATGCGGGGTCCGGGGAGAGCGGATATAGCGGGCGGATATAGTGAATGCGGGGAGAGCGGATATAGTGAATGCGGGGTCCGGGGAGAGCGGATATAGTGAATGCGGGGTCCGGGGAGAGCGGATATAGTGAATGCGGGGTCCGGGGAGAGCGGATATAGTGAATGCGGGGTCCGGGGAGAGCGGATATAGTGAATGCGGGGTCCGGGGAGAGCGGATATAGTGAATGCGGGGTCCGGGGAGAGCGGATATAGTGAATGCGGGGTCCGGGGAGAGCGGATATAGTGAATGCAGGGTCCGGGGAGAGCGGATATAGTGAATGCAGGGTCCGGGGTTTAGTAACACTTTGATATCAGTACACTTACATGCTGTACGCAGCACCTGGGCTGCCCAGGTGGATGGAACACACGAATGTGTGCTGAAAGGGCTGAGTTGTATCAGAGCCCATAAAAGTGGAATGCCAGCTTACACCTAACTAGCCTTGAAACTGTCCCTCCCCCTCCTAACACCTATACTGACTAACCTGTGTAAGAAAGATGTCAGCCCAATCTGGTCATGTGATCTCTGGTGTCAGCTGCAGGGGAGAAGAGAGAGCAGTCAAAACGGCTAAGAATTCCGAGAGTGGTGATATCACTCATAGGCTTCAATGGTCCATCCGTTGTTGGCACTCCCTCTTCTCCCCTGCAGCTGCCGCTAGCTGACACCAGAAGTCACATAGACCGGACTAAAGCAATAGGATAGAATAGATAGATGGCAATAGAATAGGTAAGTAAAGACATCTTCCTTACACAGGTTAGGTAGTATAGGTGTTGAAGGGGGAAGTGGGCAGTTTTAAGACTAGTTAGGTGTAAGTTTGAATTTTTTCTTTACCTGTCCTTGAAAAAAATCCCACATTGCAGAAATGGCCGTACAATACTTTATTCCAAGACTCGTGTTAAAGAGTAACTCCACTTTTATTGAGGGAAAAAACCCTCCCCTCTGGGTGATCTATGCACATTGCAGGGATTGTGAACAAACTTTATGGCAGATTCCTACCTTTTGCTATCCTGAAGAAATAGCTGTTTGTTTCTCTGTGTCCATGTGCAGAGTGCATGTGAATGGGAGTGACTTTATTATCAAATCGGTTGCAGCACTTGCGGGGATCTGAGGAAAGTGGCAGGGTCTGCATCCCTTTAGAAGTGATTTCCCTTTGGGAGTATCTCACCAAAAATGATATTTTTGTTGCAGGGGATGCTCAAAATCTGACTTGTATCTTAGTACAAACTTCTGGGGAAATCAGTGAGCCAATCACACGAGCAGGAAATGACATTTTGGGGGGAGGGTGTTCTGTACACCATTTGTGTATAGAATGCCTCCAGGTTGTCATATTGCCCAGAGACAAGCCTAGGGCCGTGGATACGGGGATACCACCAGTCCTTCTGTACGGGGCCCAGGCCAGCAGGGGGGGCTAGGCAGCTAGGTGAATCGGATGTGGGAAGGGAGGGTGATCGGCACAATTTTATGGAAATAAACTGGTAACTTGTATGGCTCTCTCTGCAGCAGCTGAAAGCTCTCCCTCCCTCTGGCTTTCAGCTGCTGCAGAGAGAGCCATACAGGGGATCAGTTCCAGTAATTGCCCCCCACCCCTCAAGCGCTGCCAGGCTCCCTCCTCTCCTAACCACCAGCAGCTGCAAGCACACAATAGGATCCTTCAGGATGGAGAATGAGGGTAATTATATTATGGTAAATATATTTACCAGCCCCTTTCTTTCCTGAATGAACACAATGAATGTTCAGTACCGATCACTCACTGAGTTCATTCACAACTGAAGCATATTAAACTGGTTTTTTTTTTTTTTTGAGGTGGGGGGCTGTCAGGTTGGCTGTGTGGGGCCCCGTGGTTTCTAACAGCAGCCCTGGACAGGCCACACATCAGACCTTGCTATAGCATGGTACTAGCATAGAAGGGATACTGTACCTACACTGTTCTTCGCTCTGACATTCACCCCTCTTCCAATCAGCAGCCGCATCCTCTCGATGTTGTTGGTTTTTGCAGCAATGTGGAAATCTTGCTCGGTGCGAAGCACTAAAAAAAAATGCAGGATTGAGAATGTCATTACAGAATTGAATACTGAATATTTATTTCAGGTACTTATATATCGCCGTCAGTTTACGCCGCGCTTTACATATATATTGTACATTCACATCAGTCCCTAACCCTCAAGGGGCGTACAATCTAAGGTCCCTAACTCACATTCATACATACACATACTAGGGGCAATTTAGACAGGAGCCAATTCACCTACCAGCATGTCTTTGGTGTGTCGGAGGAAACCCACGCAGGCACAGGGAGAACATGCAAACTCCAGGCAGGTGGTACCGTGGTTGGGATTTGAACCAATGACCCTAGTACTGCCAGGTGGAAGTGCTAACCATTTAGCCACTGTGCTGCCCAGAGCAGTGCATTTATGAAACATCTGCAAGGCGATTAGCTGCAAGTGCATTTGTTCTGTGCAAAATCCAGTATCACTAAGCAATTTTCTCTCCAGGCCGGATGTCCTTTGTTTTTAAGAAAAGCGTGAACACTGCGTTTTGTCCACCAGATTGAGCGGAGAATCATAGGTCATAAGTATTAATTTCCTATGACCATCAGCTCCACCTAGTGGCCATAATGTGGTAGTGTCCTGATTCACGCTATTTTTTTTCGGACCTGGAGAGGAAATAGCCTAGTAGTAACATTCGATTTTTGCACAGCATGAATGTACACACAGTTTCACAGGGAAAAGAGATGCGCAATATTTAAAAAAAAAAACAAAAAAAAAAAAAAACATCCATTAATGTACATTTTGCTAGCAATCTTTGTCATTCCACCCATACCAGGGGCGGACTGACCATTTGGAAACTCGGGCACTGCCCAAGGGCCCAGGGTCAGTAGGGGGGCCCCATTATATCCCCCTGGTACCTTTTTCATAGGCTTTTTTGAGTTTGGGCAAGGACACAGGGGCCCCATGATCCCCTATTGCCCGGGGGCCCCATGAGTTGTCAGTCCGCCCCTGACCCATACTGATGGAAAAAGTTATTGGGGCACAACCCAGCTTCACAAACTTGAAGATCCCATAAAGGTTTGTTTCTGACTATTCTGGTGTCCTAGAGTGGCCATCCACTCCAGTGCTACTAATACACAGAAGGGTTCATTCACGCTAGCATTGCTGTCTGAAGGGCAATCCACACTCGAGTCGCTCTTCAGGGAGCATTTGACAGGTGGTGAGAAGGTGTTATATCACCTCATCAACACCTACGTTAACCCCTTGGACCGCGCAGTAGCACGCTGCAAGCACGTGAAACGCGTGGTGGTTGCAGAGTGGCCCCATTCACTTGAAAGGGTCAAAATCAGTGGGTGGTAGTGCCTTCCAAATGCCAGAAGGGGTATTATTCCTGCCAAGCAGACGGGAACTAAATGCTACCAAAGCACCCCGACTGCAGTGTGTGTACACCTCCGGCCCAGGGGCGGAATGACCATTTCGAAGCTCGGGCACTGCCCGAGGGCCCGGGGTCAGTAGGGGGCCCCATGAGATGCCCATGGTACCTTTTGCATAGGCTTTTTTGAGTTTGGGCAAGGACACAGGGGTCCCATCATCCCCTATTGCCCGGGGGCCCCATGAGTTATCAGTCCGCCCCTGCTCCGGCCTCTACCTCTGCAGCTACAAAAGGAGAGCAGTTGGGGGCGGTGGGTTATTAAAAACGTGGTTTAACTGCAGGGCATTACCACCCCTCAACAGTTGTGTGAACACGCCCTAATAGATAAATATATAGCAACAAACGTTTCAAAGAAGAACGCCCTGTGCACGGCATAGTTATTATTCTGCAGAACAATGCGTTGTGAGTTCTAAGGGCTGATCCTTTGTATTGATGATGATCAGCGAGCGTCAGATCTATTCAAAGATACCGGAATGTTTAGTTTCACTGAACTGCAGAAAAGCTCCAAGTTTCAGGTCTTCAGCCTGAACCAAAGAGAGTCTGACATTCCGCCTCCATGGTACGTGTGCCAATTAAATTCACCTTCACCTTTGTAAATTGTTTCAACAAACACAAGATCACATTTACACAACATATATAGACTGTAAAGTAGAATTCCGGGCTAAACTAACCTGAAAAATGGCCCCTCCCCCTTTCAACGACACTAACTGTGTAAAAAGGATCGGTATACAGGCGTACATCGGTTTATGAACGCCTCGGTTCACGAATTAGAATCCATTGAAAATAATGGCTCGGTTTATGAATTTTTTTCGCAATAGGAACGGATTAATTGGTTTTCAATGCATTTACACATTTTTTTTTCAATCATGTCCCTGTACAGTATTTATGTCTTTAAAGTGCACGTTATAAAAGAGTTTTAAATGGATAAAATACTTTTTTTTAACTTTTTTCTGACCTCCGGAATGGATTAATTGGTTTTCAATGCATTTACGAATTCTTTTTTTTAATCATGTCCCTTTATGCCTTTAAAGTGCACTTTAGAAAGAGTTTTGAACAATTAAAATACTTTTTTTTACTTTTTTCTGACCTCTGGAACGGATTAATTGGTTTTCAATGCATTTACGAATTAATTTTTAATCATGTCCCTGTACAGTATTTATGTCTTTAAAGTGCACTTTATAAAGTTTTGAACAGATAAAATACTTTTTTTTTACTTTTTTCTGACTTCCAGAACAAATTAATTGGTTTTTAATGCATTTACAAATTTTTTTAATCATGTCCCTGTACAGTATTTATGTCTTTAAAGTGCACTTTATAAAGTTTTGAACAGATAACATTTTTTTTTTACTTTTTTCTGACCTCTGGAACGGATTAATTGGTTTTCAATGCATTTAAGAATTATTTTTTTTTAATCACATCCCTGTACAGTATTTATGCCTTTAAAGTGCACTTTAAAGAGTTTTGAACAATTAAAAGACTTTTTTTTACTTTTTTCGGACCTCCGGGAACAGAATAATTGGTTTTCAATGCATTTACATTTTTTTTTTAAATCATGTCCCTTAATGCCTTTAAAGTGCACTTTAGAAAGAGTTTTGAACAGATACGAATTTTTTTTACTTTTTTCTGACCTCCGGGAACAAATTAATTTTCAGTGCACTTACAAATTAATTTTTAATCATGTCCCTGTACAGTATTTATGCCTTTAAAGTGCACTTTATAAAGTTTTGAACAGATAACTTTTTTTTTTTACGACCTCCGGAACGGATTAATTGGTTTTCAATGCATTTACGAATTTTTTTTTCCAATCATGTCCCTTTATGCCTTTAAAGTGCACTTTATAAAGAGTTTTGAACAATTAAAAGACTTTTTTTTACTTTTTTTGGACCTCCGGGAACGGATTAATTGGTTTTCAATGCATTTAAGAATTCTTTTTTTTTAATCATGTCCCTGTACAGTATTTATGTGTTTAAAGAGCACTTTATAAAGTTTTGAACAGATAACATTTTTTTTTTACTTTTTTCTGACCTCCGGAACGGATTAATTGGTTTTCAATGCATTTACAATTTTTTTTTTAAATCATGTCCCTTTATGCCTTTACGAATTAAATTCATAAACCGAGGTACGCCTGTACTTACCTATTTTCAGGTTGCTTTGGTCCCGTCATGTGAACTAGCTCCCCTGTGTCCACCAATGGCAGCTGCAGGGAGAGGAGGGAGTGCCAATGGATGAGACATGGGAGACTATGGCTGATGTCACTGCTCCAGGCTTTACCAGCCATTGTCGAGTGCTCTCTCCTCTCCCCTGCAGCAGCCGCCGCAGGGGATCATGTGACTGGACCAGAGCAGCATAAAAATAAGTGATGTCATTGCAGCCCGGCCATTCAAATGACTGGGAAAAGATGGGAGTGCAGGGAGCGGTGACAGATCATCACTGGAGGGCTCCATTTGAAAGGTCTGTCATAACGTGCTAGAACGCGGTGCACATTATAGAATGTGGGGACTCATTGAAGTTTTTTTTTGTAGCATTTAATACTGCAATAAATGTGAAATCTAGCTTAAACCTAAACCCCTTGCCCTCCAGAGGATTCCCCCCCTTCCTGACCAGGCCATTTTTTAGGATACAATGCTGCCTTACTTTGACAATTGCGCAATCATGCAAAGCTGCACCCAAATTAAATTTATGTCCTTTTTTCCCCACAAATGGAGCTTTCCTTTGGTAGTATTTGATCGCCTGTGCGATTTTAATTTTTTGCACTATAAACAAAAAAAGACCGACAATTTGAAAAAAAAAAAAAACCAAAATAATATTTTTGACTTTTTGCTATAAAATGTATTCAGTAAAAAAAAAAAAAAAAAAAAAAACGAATAAATTTAGAACAAAATGTATTCTACTACATATATTTGCAAAAAAAAAATCCCAATACATGTAAATTAATTGGTTTACATGAAAGTTATAGCGTTTACAAATGGCGGTAAAGATACTGGAATTATTTTATTTTTTTAAACTAGTAATGACGTCGATCCGCGACTTATGGTAGGACTGCGGCAGATATTCTGACACTGGGTAGGAACTGACATCCCCAGTGACACTAACACAGTGATCAGTGCTAATAAAAAGCACTGACACTGTACTAATGACACTGGGCAGAAAGGGGTTAACATCTGGGGCGATTAAAGGGTTAACTGTGTGTGTGTGGTTTACTTGGGAAACATGCTGCTGTGTATTTCTCTTCTGCACAAGGAAATACAAAGCAACATGTCCTTGCTAGCAGGAGAGACATCTGTGTTGTTTACACACAGCTCTCTCCCCTGTCAGTTTTACACAGCGATCACTGAGTGCCAGCTGGGACCAGGTGATTGACATCACTAGCCGCCAATGGCGGCGTGGATAGGGTGGCACGTGCGCTACCTACCTGGAAATGTAAATCACGTGTGTATATGTGTATATATATATATATATATACACACACACACACACACACGTGATTTTACACAGCCCTGCCACCCTGTAGCAGTAGTTCTACTATAGGGTGCCGGGGAAGCGTTTAAACATACTGACGAAACGTGTTGGTTGAAGGCATGCTTGCTGTATCACTTTCGGTGTCATTTC